AAAAAAAAAAAAAAAAGTAAATATATATTGTAACAAATTAATTTATAATTCTACACTTTTTGGTATAATTGATTATCTAACTAAATTAGTATTGTGATTGTTAAAGCTTTTAAAGAAGGCAGTATGCATATTGATATGAGGCTAACATGATAGTGTAGTACCTTTGATGTCATAAAGTAGGTTCCAGAATGTGTTCTCTTTCATATTAATCTACGTAAATATATATATTTATTCTAATAAATGGGAAAACCTCATTCTTATATTAAAGTAACTTAGATATAGACATAATGATATTCACTTCTTAATTTCACACCATCATTAAGAATTACTATTCCTTATAGAAACCATTTATTGTGGCAGATTATAATGAAATCAGATTAAAATGAAATAAATGATAGTGTAAAATAGACAAGCTACCAAAAAATACAAATTTTTGGGGTACATTTTTTAGTATTTTTTTTAGGGTTAGGATTAGGGTTTAGAGGCAGATTTTATAATAAACAAGTATAAATGAGTTTTAGAGAGTCAAATAGAAATCTCTCATTATTTTAATCTGATTTCATTATGATCTGTGATATTTATTATTCAATCTACATAACTTCTCATAGCGGTTGAAACTACACTATACATTTATTGTATATCACTCTCCTAACCAACTGTTATCATATATTATATTTTTTTAAAAAAATTAATGCCTTCTCTTTGTAATGAACATTCATCTTATTCGCATTGCTTAATCTAAGAACTTGATATTCCTTCGAATAATTCATCAAAATCATTCTTAATGTTTTCAATTTTCATTTGAGCCTCATTTCTTTTTTGGCTTTCAGGCTTACTATCTCCACTTTTACTATTGTAAATAATATATATATTTCATGATAAAAAATAATACTATAACTACTTCAACCAGATGGTGAAACCACCTATATTTGCATCTTTTAGTTATATAAAAAAAGGAGAAAATTATATATAAGGGTCCAAAAAATGAAATTAATTACAAATAAGAACCCAAAGTAAAAATAAGTGCCCAAATTTGTAATAACTTTGCATTATGATGATAATACTTTAAATGTTATACTGGATATATATATTACTTTATATTATATTCTTTCATTTGATGAAACTTTTTTTAACCAAGATACAATTCAACAAGGTTAAGCATAATTTTGTAATGTTTAAACTAAAATATTTATCCTATACTAAAACTAGTGAATCATATTTTGTGAAAGTTACTATTAATCGAAGATATTTAGAGCCACAAAAACTCATCTGTATTCATAGAGAAATTTAAATTACTTTTAAAAATTGGCAAAAGTAGTTTTAATTTTTATATACAAGATGTTAAGAGAATAAATATAATATGGATTAAAGGTAATATGTATATTTAACTGTCAAAAAAACATTGCATAATTTTAAGCATTAAGACTTTCAAACTAATTAGTTATGATAAAGTTAGACCCATGATTGTAACAGTTTTACCACAAAGTCCCTATATCCAAAATCTTGAAATCATAATCCAGACGTGACAATTAGTATTTAAAGATTAGTAATCATATTAACAATCATTGTCAAACTTTAAATTTTAATTTTCATATCATGTGATGTCAGTATTATAACCTGTCAAGAGTTTGGATGTCAGGATTTTGTGGTAGAACCGACTGTAATATCTTTCAAAATTTGGATACTTACATGTGACCATTTGACTTTGGAACTTTATTTGTAATTCTTTTTATTTTTGAGCCCTTAGATATAATTCCAAAATTACTGAAGAAAATAGAATATTACTGTGAAAAATTTGTAAAATCACAAGATCTAATTTTTGAGTATCAGACACAACTTATTAGAGTGTAAAATATTATTATTAATCAAACTATATTTACAAATTCACAAAACTATCAAGTGCAGATTTTTTGATGGTACACGAATATTTAATCCTTATTAGTATACAAATTTAGTAATTTGTTTTAGTTAGTGATTATACAATATAAATACTTATTCTATATAAATTAATATATTTAATAATATAAAATTAGATAGTTAAACTTATTAATTCGTCATTTATAACTCAACCTTTTTTTTATTTGTTATAATAATAGTATAAAAATAAAATTACAGAAAAAAATTTTATATCAAAATCAAAATTCGCAAGAATGAAATATTTTTATATCAATTGATATGGAAAAATACAAATTTGATCTATATTTTGCAAAAATTTATTATTATTCGCATTATGAGTCTAAGCACTTCTCAAGATCCAAAATTGCTTCGAATAGTTTGTCAAAATCATCCTTAACTACTTCATTTTTATTATCTTTACATATATTATTGTAAATAAAATAAATTAATAAACGTATATATTGTATATGTTTTTGTATTTTAAAAGTGAAAATTCTTAAAACTATAATGAATATTCACCTTATTTGCATTGATTATCCTAAAGCTTCTCTAGTTATATAATACTGTAATATAAAGATTCGCAAAATAAATTTTAAGCAAAAAATTCTTATATAAAATAATTAATCATTTAATTTGTTAATTCACAAAATAGATATAACTGCTTAATTCTTGAATTTGCATATTAATAAACTATTATATCATCAATTAATATATTTGATATCAAGATTTGTCAGATAACTAATCTAAGGGTAATTTTATAACTTGGTTTGTTTGATTGATTAATTGATGTAAAGCGTATAATTGAAAAACAATGAATATTAGTTGCAACCAAATGATTTTTGTAATAATGAATTTGTATAAATAGACATAAATCATTTAGCCAAATCTTTTGGTATTAAAATATCTTCTATATCAACAATAGTTATACCATGATTGAGAATTTTTAAATCAGAAACTTTTGAATTTCCAAATAGTATTATTAATTTTACTAGATAGCTGAAATAATTTATAATATGTTAAGAAGTAGATATAGATATATTTGGTGAATTAATTCCATCTGCATCAATTAATAAAATCTCCAAATTCATTTATTCTATCTTCGAACAATACCCAAACTTCTCTATCATTTTCCTTTATGTCCAACTCATTTTTTATACAATTGCTGTTATCGGCTAATAAAAATCTCATAATCCGTTACAATATATGACTATACTTGGTTAGGAATTGTAGCAGACAAACAGGTATCTTTTAATATAGTCTGTAATTGTTATAGAATATTGTTATTTAGTGATTGGATCTAGTATTGGCTTCAGAAAAATGTGCTTGAATTTTTGCTAATGCAATAGAACAAAGAGGAAACCCTTTTTCTATTAATACAAAGATTATAATCTCGCTATCAGATCTACAGTATTTAAATAAAATAAAAAACTAATTAATTAAACGTTAATGAATAGTAAACACTCATTTTTTCAATCATTTAATTAATATTATTAAAAAATAAATCTTGAAAACTAATCTTATGTTCAAATATTTTAACATTTAAATTTTTCAAGATTTTTTTTAACTGAATCATAAAAACCAATTCTTAATTATTTTCAGACTCTTAGATGATCTGCTTTATACCTTATTTAATTAATTATTATGTACAATTTGGGATGTCTAAACTTCTACATCCTTATATAGAGATCATTTAGCTCACTGAAAATAAATTTCCTAAGTTAAACAGTAACAATAAAATGCAGTAAATCTTGATTCTTTAGCCTCTTTGCATAAAAATAATATACTACAAACAAAATGTACACAGGACAGTTCATGTGTATACTCCTAAACTTAGTTATTATTTAATAATAATACAGTAATTTTAGCTTATCTCCAGGTTATCTTTATTTTATATAAAGTGAATGAGGTATCTAGATTGTTTTGCACCATACTATATGTAAACTCTATTTATTTTTCTACATATGGGACCCCCCACAGCAAAAGGGTGCAATGAAGAAATCAGATGATCGTGAGAAAATCGTAATTTAAAATTAT